CCCGCAATGCAGGGGAAACGGGAGAAAAATAAGATTTGTGTGCTCTTTCGTTTCATTAAACATGTTTAAAGATTGAGGAACTAATATCGCACCCAGTTTAGGTTTAGGTGAGTAATTGACTCAACGCTCATTTTCTCTTTTCCGCGTCATTCCCGTCAATTTGCTGATTGTGTAAATTTTCAAGCAGCCCGATAGGCAGGAGAAAAATTTAAATGTACCTGAGGTTTGTGTGGCCATGGTGAGCAGAGTGGTGACCCCCAGCGACACGCGGGCAGGCACGGCGCTTTGGTCCAACCAGAAGGACACCCAGGACACGATGACCAACATGCAGCAGGGAATGTAGATCTGGATGAGGTAGTATGAGAACTCCCGCTTGAAGAGTAGATCTACCTTGAGGCAACTGTACTCTCCTGAAGGATAGAAAAACACGAATTGAGGATGGGGATGTTGCTAGTAGTAGATGTATTCCGTTTATCAAAAAGTAGACGTACCTGTATTAGTCTTCGAGTTACAATAGTCCGTTAAGAACTTTTCCAGTGTAAACCGAGGAAGATGGAGGTTCTTGACAACTTGTACAGGATCGCCGTCCTTCCACAAAAATACCAAGTCGTTGGTTGTCCACCCATCTGCGAAACACACACAAAAAAACAAAAACAAAAAACACTTAACAAAATTTCAATTCTAAATTATCAATATTTATTTGCAATTTCCCTACTCACAGCTGGCCATCCGTAAGGAGCAGACTTGTCTATCTAAGGGATACAGCTTGAGGTTCATCGGGCACGACAATGTGAGCGAAATGCTGAAACAAACAAACAAATGTAATGAACCACATGAAAAATTGTGTAAATTTGCTAAACCATAACGAAATTGATTCTCTTCCGGACATTCGGCCTTAAAAATCTCGAGGAACTGATCGATCTGGACTTATTTCGAGAGGCCAATAACCGAGGGGTCCCCCACTGTACAACGAGTTGGCGAGCACACGAGTTGCCGCGAGTTCGGCACAAGTTGGAATCAACTTTTGGAGAGTTTCTTTCAAATTTAGGGCGACTTTTCGCGAGTTTGACGCGAGTCCGACGCGAGTCCGACGCGAGTGGGGCGCGGGCAAGTATACAACGAGTTGCCTCGTCGGGAACCCCTCGACAATAACCCCCCTTTGATGTGCACAAAGACACATCTAGCCCACGTACAAAAATTGTCCCTCATACTGCACCGCATGGCACGCGCATGCGTGCGTGTTGCTTACCCCGCAGCCGTACATGCGGTAAATTGAACTAGGTGGATTTCCATTTTTCTGGTGCCATTTCCATTCATTCCCTCTCGAGAATGTCTCGAAACCAAACTTCCTCTATGAAATACCTCGATTCTGTCTCAGCTACGTCTCCAAAACCAGACGTTCTGGAGACTTTCGTGAGACATTAAGAATATCTCCCAATTGTCTCGACGCTGTCTTTTCAACGTCTAGATAGTGTCTTGTAAACTCCTATCCATTCAGTCTCTAGAAATTCAGAAGCTTCTAGAAGTGCAGAAGCGTGTGTATGTGTGCGGTAGATTCATGCCGATTTCATGCCTGTGTGCGGCTTTGTCCTTACAGCGGCTGACATCGCGGGAAACTCGTATGTATAAATAACGTCTCAACACCCTACCCCATAGTCTTACCTGAGTGTGTGTGCGCGCGCGTGTATGTGTGTGTGTGCGCGCGCGCGTGTGTGAATGTGCATGTGCGCTTGCTGTGCGAGGGATGTATTGCTAACGTTATGAGACTGGAGCGACACGAGCAGGTCGGCGGGGTGGGTTTAGAAATGAAGTCGGAAGGAACGAGGTTAAGTCCACAAAAGTTGGCAGAATATGAAGAGACAGAGGAAGATGGATGGGGCAACAAACACACTTCGGCTTACAGGTCCGCCTCGCCATGCCCAGACCGGCGCCACCGCAGTCATGGGGTGGTCCCAGGGGAGGGAGAATATTCAACAAAGACTTGAGCAGCCGCGGCCGCCAGATCTTCAAATTGAGGGATCGAAGCTGGAGTGTATGTTTGCAGGGGCAGATTCAGGTCCGGCTGACAGGGGAGGGCGATGCACTGTCGGTTGCCTACATACGGGGGTTTTGTGCCATAAATTGCCTACCTTTTAGGCGGCTCTCTAGAGACGACCCGCTCCTGCTCCCCCCTTAAATCCGCGCCTGCATGTTCGTTGGCGGTCGCGCGTCGTCGCGGAGAAGCACTAGCCGCATCAAGCCGACACGCCATCTGCTTCGTGAAGCTAACCGTTGTCACCCTTTGCAGGCGGCCCCCGGCTTCGCACTTTTACCAGCAGTGTGCAGCGAGAAGGGCCGGCCCCGCTGCGCGCGCTGCGACCCACCACCGTATATGCGTTCAATTATTCAACCCCTGTTCGTGATGCTACACGCCCTCATGGGCCTCGCGGGGAGCAGCGTCGGCGCCGCGCGCCCCAACGCGCCTCGCACCCTAAACCCGAAAAGGGTAAGGGTACCACTTTCCAAATTGAGGTGCAGCGGTCCGCACGTCATGCACGGCAAGCCAAGCCCACGGCGGGCGCATAGCAGGCGGACACGAACACTGGCCCGGATGAAATCGAACACATTTAACGACGGGCCTTGATCAATGTGACACCTTTATTGCTCGGCGGTGGTTTCGAGCGGGTTGTCCATCCCAGCCAGCTGCTGCACTTCGCCTTTCACTCTTCCCACTCAATAACCCGCTCCCTCCCCCCCCCTACCCTGCCACTTTCCCCCATCTCCGCATTCGACGTGCGACTTGCTCAACTTGCAAAGCCTCGACAGTAATGGATTACAGTTAGGCTCGACGCGGCCCTCGTGGTGAATAGCAGGTGATTTTCCCCAGCAAAATCACCCTTTCCCTTCCCCGTCAGTGATGGATAGGCAGGCAGGTACTTACCGAATACTGTAGAGGACGGAGCCGTACGGAAAGATACGGATGTAGACGTTGGGCATAATGATGTTATGGAAGTGGCCTTCTTTTTCGTTTGAGAAGAACAAGTCCGGCATCCACACCCTAGCGGCGTCCGTCAAGGTCAGGTACTTAATTTTTCCTGTAGGACACATTGCAAAGTTTTAGTATTAGGAACCAAAATTTGAAGTGCATCGGCGAGTTACTGTACCTTAAAATTACATATAAGCTTCAACAAGATGAGCCTAACAGAACAGGTCGTGACCGTCAGACGGGTCCACCGACGGGTGCACGTGCACACACCTCGCGCGTTACTACCCGCGTTCCCATTGTCGGCAGCTGTGGTCCAGAATGACGGCCCTAGACACCCCACTCCCCACTCCCACCCGTAGCCACCACATACGAGTCTACCCAGTCTACCCACAACTCTGTGGGTTTTGAATGGCGGAACGCCTATAA